ATCGGGAATCCCTCGGGTAGAGAATACAATGTTTTACAGCCCTGTTCGACAAAAGATACCCTCAATGCCACATGTATGTTTTTTAAGGGACGCTGAGCCCGGTTTTCAGCAGGTGTAGCTCCCCGCCAATAGATGGAGCGGCCCAACGGGGAAATCCTCAATTCTGGCGGTTCTCTCACCACCGCCGGGATAGTGGGTTTTCGAAGGGTTTTCAAAAAAATAAATAAGTAAATAAATTATTTTTGCCACACAGGCTGTCGAAATTGGAGACGGGAGCTTCAAGAAAACTCACAAGTTGTCAGAGAATGCTTCTCGACACCTGTTGTCCAAAGTTCTTGAACCCCCCAGCCTGCTACTCCGAAGTTTTCAACAGTCGACTTCTCTTCGAAATTGGTGAGTGGGCGTGATGTCAGGATGGACTAGTGCTTGTCGTACCCTCAGTGGCATTCGTCCTTTTCCATCTGACATTCACAAGTGCGACCATTCTACAGTGCTGTGTGGCGAAGGGGGAGGGGGGTGGCGAAAAGAAGTAGGCGAAAAATGTCTGACAGTTGGTGAAAAAGAAAGGTTCTCGACACTGGTGTGGCGAGCCCCATAGCGTGCCTTCGGACAGCTCTCGAGCGGGTTTCGAGAGTTTCCCTATCGAGAGTCTAAGAGGCTCGCCACACAGGCTGTCAAAAACCCGGTTTTCGACAATTTTGCATCGCCACACAGACTTTCAAAGAGTTGCCTCTCAAAAAAATTTGGACAGGTGTCAGGATGGCACTTTTGACAGCTGCCCTCCAGCAACCGTTTCCCCCAGCCTGCAGGTGACGGAAATTTGACAGTGGCCCGCCCAGCTTTCGAAAAACGCCTCCCATAATCCATTCTCCTGGACTGCTCCCTGACAGCCGTTGCCTGTTTGTCCGTATGTAGTCAACAGTTGCTGTCGAAAACGGCATCGACATCTGGTCCCTTGCGCGCACAAATTCATCCCTGTAACAACTCCCGACAGGCCACTGCCTTCGCCACACAGCACCTGTCGAAAGGCTGAGGTGCTGTGTCGAAAGGCTGAGTCGACTTGACAACTTTCGACAACCTCGCCCCTCGACAGGCTATGTGGGGAAGGGGGGCGAAACTGTAGACGGCCCGACTGTCAAAAATTTTCTGACACCTTTCGAAAATTTTCGACATTCGACAGCCTGTGTGGCGAGCCTCTGAAGTGGTGCAGAGAGGCCCCTAGAGTAGTGCACCGAGGCCCCTAGAATAGTGCAGCGAGCCCCTTCGTGGTAGTTTCGTTAGAGCGGATCTCGTTTCTGCTACAACCAAAAACCCTACAATGCCAACTAGCTTGCCACGTGGTGACTTCGCCGTCTCGCTGTCGAACAGCTGAGTCCGACAAATGGAAAAGACGGGAAGGGCCGGGACACCCACAAAAAAAAAAAAAAAAAAAAAAAAAAAAAAAAAAAAAAAACAGAAAAGACGGCGTCTTCTTTTTTTTCTTTTTCTTTTTTTTTTTCGGAAAGCTTGTACTTGCATTATACATCAATAGAACGAGGCCGGGGACCTCACTGCCGGGCCGAGGTCCCACTAGCAAAGAGGATAGGATCAAGCTCCTGAATCTGGATGTGTTTTGTGCAGAGATGCAGAAAAGCAGTTCAATCTCGATTTCCTGTACCTCTCCACAATCACGTCCAGATTCGGGCATTCGGTCCGATCCTTTTTGCTAGTGGGACCACGCCCCCGGCGTCTTTTCTGTTTTCTCGACTCGATTTTATTCGTGTCAAGTCACAGCAGACGGCTTTCGGTCTATGAAAAGCAGATGAAGTTACTGACGGGCAGCTGAGTTGGGGCGTCGCTCCACTCCACTACTACCGTGATCCACAAAAGACAAAAATCATGGCGGTGTGTATGTTTCCATGTTCTAGCAGATGATTCACTCTCGTTTTGCACATTTCGAGCGTAGTGGAGCGAGGCCCTTGGTATACCCATGAACTGTTGTAATACGCATCCGTGTTCGAATCCGGCTGCAGGAAACGAACCGGCACGCCCAGCTGAGTATGTTCACTCATGGAATGTCGAGATAGACAGACCTGAGCTCGAGACCCGACATGGTCGATGAGTGGAATAGTCGGATATCTCAAGGCTGTCGCCCTTCTCAGCGGGGAAAAAAAAGATAAAAAACATGGCGGGAGCAAACAGTGGGCCCCGCTCCACTACTGTCGACGTGCACAAACGACATAAAATAATGGCGGTGTATCTTCGTTCTAGCAGAGGTTTTCGAAGGAGCGAGGGCCAGTGGCCTGTGATGAGGAGACGTTCCCCCAAAAAAAAAAAAATGATGAGGAGACGTGTGGCAAGACTCCAAAACATACCAAACAAAAAAAAAAAAAAAGGACTCCAAAACAGCAACGGCGAAGTAATTAGGCTATAGGGCCTCGTTTCCCTGTACAACATTTGAGATGTATCTTGACCTGCTTTCGTAAACATTCAAAATGTTGCACCATACTGAGTGTATCTGGTCGGATCCCAAAATGCATGTAGAATGCTGTGTACGGAAGCGAAGCAATACTCACATGAGGAGCTTCCTGCATGTATATGACCGCTTTTACGGCCAGGCTGGATACATTTGACCGAAATCATGTCCAAACTACGAGAGGCAAGGTGGAAGAGGTCTCCATGGGGCCTGGCTCCACTACTCACAAAATGTGAATCTTCGGCTAAAGCACGGAAAAATACACCGACGTATATCTTGTCTTCTGTGCATCTCGTGAGTGGCGGAGCGACGCCATGAGTACGCTCCGCCGAAAAGAAAAAGGAAGGCCGGAGAAAAAAGAGGACCGTGGATTCGGGGACGCTGCGCTAATTTCCTGCGCTAATTTCCTGCACTAATTTCCTGCGTTAATCTTGCCTGCGCTAAGCGCTGCTTCGGCGGCGCCGCTTCAGCGGCGCTTGGCGCTTAGCAAGCTTAGAGTTAGGAAAATTTCCGTCGGGGATATTGCGCGTTTTGACGCAGGGACGAAGAAGTTGGGATGTCTCCCTCGGTATTTCCAAGGGAGAGTGGACTCGAAGTCGTAGGCGCATGGGTTCGGGCTGTTGGACCAGGTGAATCACTCGAGAGGAGAGTGTTCACAAGTACCTCGTATATCAGGGAGAGGTAAGGGAGCTGCCGCCGACCAGTCGTTCTCCTCGTGAACTTCAAGGGCCGGACAGCCCTGTTTTCTACGCCAAGGTATTTTTCCGGAGTACGGGATCCCAGGGCGGTCATGATCCCTACGGGCGTCAGCGAGTTAGCTGCTTCGACAGAGGATCCTCCAGTATCTGATGCTCTTCCAGGTATAAGCTATTTTCAGTCTGTAACCCCCAGTGTGGTTCACCGTGGAAGGTATTTTTTAGTATTATGAATATTAGAATAAGGATTTTAGGCTGGTTCGTTCTGATTAGTTTTGTGTTCATCATGGCTTCTTCTTCCTGCCTGGCAGAGGGAGGGTCGGTTTCGATCTCCTCTCCTCCGACAGACGCAGACAAAGAAAGAGTTCGTGAGTGTTTAAAGGCTTGTTTTGTTGATGAAATCCTCCCCCCTCGTTTGGCGCTGCGAACAGTGACTGTAGAGGAAGACTGTGTTGTGGTGGATGTTAGCCTCGAGCTGTCAAGACTCCAAGCCAATTGGCTGAGTCAACATGCCGTCACGATTATGTTTGGGGATGAAGCGTCCTCCCTTCCAGTCGACGTCAAAAACCGTCTCGTACGAATATACGAGAATGGGTGGGCTGCCTCTGGGGAAACCAACTCTCCTCCAATCAGGGGTGTTTTCCGTAACGAGGGAAGAAACTTGGTTACCTACGTTGCTTCTGCTAGCCAGATTGCAACATGGATGCTAAGAAAAGGGGAGGAAAGGATAGAACTAGATAATCGAGTTTATTCAGCGACCTTTCGCCCTTGGATGTCTGAGCGGCAATTAGCGGAATGGAGAGATGCGATGCAACAAATTTTTTTTTGGATTAGGTGTCACGATGTTCCGGTCTCAGCCATGGGCCACCTTAAAGGAGCGATCGAAGATGCCTTTGGACCTATTCTTCGTGTTTGTGCAGCATATAAGGATCGTCTGTCTCCCGACCTTCGGGATATCAGGTTTGATTTTCAGCCCTCCGCTAAACTGAGATACAAGAAACGATTAATTATTAATCTGAGAGATCTGGGTCAGATGGAAATCGATGTCACCTGCGCCACCACTCCGTGGTGTTCGGTATGTAGACGTCATTTTCATAAAGATACGGATGATTGTTGTCCTGCTAAGAAAAAGAAATCTAGCTCACAGGAGAAGGAAGCGGTGAAACAGGGAGATGGTAATGAAGGAGATCGGGAGGAAGGCAAAGGGAAAGGGAAGGGAAAGAGCAAAGATGGTAAGGGAGATAAGGTGGAAGGTGACGAAGGGGAAGAAGGAAAGGGTAAAGAAGGAAATGGGGAAAGGGAAAAGGAAAAGGGGAGGAAAAAGGGTAAGGAAGTGACCCCTGAGAAGGATGATGGCAATGGAAAGGGAGAGAAGGGAAGGCAGAAGTGGAAGGACAAGGAAGGGGAGGACAATGGAAAGAAGGGTGGTGAAGAGGAAAGCAAAGAGGCAAAGGAAAGGGAGAAAGTAAAGGAGCCTTCACCAATCTCCAAAAATGAGTTGAGGGTTGAAAAGCAGACAGAAAAGCAGATAGATGGCAGCGGGACACGAAAAGAGAAACTCAAGGGAATTGAGACTGGAGCTGAAGGAGGTAATAGAGGGAAAGGAGGAGTGGAAGTGGGTTAGAGTACGACCAAGGCCAGATGGAAAGAAAAGGGGGGCAAGGGATTGTCCTCTTTTGATAAAGTGGCTGTTGTTGCTGAGAAATTTGTAAATGAACTGTCAAATCCCCCCTTCATCTTCGGCGGTCTGAAACCAAAGAAGAAGAAGAAAGGGAGGTTAGGCAAGACAAGCCAAAACGGGGAGGACAAGGCAAACAAGGATTGTATTGAGGAGATACAGACAGACCCCAGTCCACCCGCCACGAACGCTGGTACAGACTTGGAAGAGAGGCAGGATCGACAGATGTCGCCTGAGCCTTACCTCGATCCAAAGGCTCGACCGGAGAAAGATTACCTGGAATTTGCTGTCCCAGGTCTGTTCCAAGAGGAACAAATTTGGTTTGAACCCTCCAAGGAGATTGTGCACCCAAATAAAAAAGCACGAACAAATGATGGGACTGCTGCAGTGACGGGGGAGGAACGGACCATGAGCGACACTGGCCAGGAAGTCTGGGGAGATGTTTAGACAAAAAAGAGAAGTCATCCGGGTCGGTCTGCTAAGAAATCACTCTTGGCTGCGTACCCAATGGCTACCCTAACTAAGAAAGATAAGGAGAACGGCCCGATCACGAACTTCCTTATTCCACTCATCTGTGTAGACTCGCCACTGGGCCTAATGATCTTCACAGAGAGATCGAACAAGGAAGTGTTGTCAATCCCAGCCATTGAAGTGCATGCAGTGGTCGCTGAGGAACAGATTCCAGCACTGGTTAATGCCCAAGTGTTAATCGATAAGGGCTCATGCCTGCTATTATCAGAACCTCGCATGGGGAGACACGTGGCTACTTTGCCAAATGGCAAGAGAACTCTTCTGCACATAGCTTTTCTGGGTTTGAACTTTCTTTCTGAACCTGCGATCAAGTTGTGTCAGGAAAGAACACTCTGGTGTCCTTTACTGGACCTCATTACCCCGAACTGGGACTCCCCAGCTGAAATCCGTTTGGCCCAAGAGCTGACAGCCAAAGAAGTTGCGGACTGGATAATCCGTACGGAGGCTGGTTCAACTCTGTCAAGCCCCGGGTTTCAGTCAAAAGTCAACGCAGCTAGTCAATCCTAGACCTAGTATTGGACTGGGGAACTACTAGCAGCCAATGACTCTCTCCGCATCCAAACCGAAGGCGGCAATCCCCAGCCCAATGGTCTTACCCTGTAGGGTCCGACTTGCAAGCTGGAACGTAAAAGAATTGGATGACACGACAGAGAGACATAAAAGATCGTGGATGGTTTCTTGGGTCCATTCTGAACAAGTGCATATCTTGGGCCTTCAGAAAACTAAGTTAGATTCAGATAAAATCTATGAGGCCCGCAACTGGTGGACGGGCCCTCGATTTTGGGCCCCAGCGAATGGATCCAGAGGCGGTACGACTATTTTATTCCACGAGGACCTAGACTGCACAATCCTTGACCACTACAGTGACTCGGGTGGTAGGTGAGTTTGGGTAAAGTTCGAAATGGATTCGGAAGAATGGGCAGTCATGAATATATATGCTCCCACGGACTATATAGAAAGGACATAATTTTTCTTAAACTTACCACCTATGATCCCAGATACAGAAAACCTGGTATTAATGGGGGATTGGAACACCACCTTGAACCCTGGCTTGGATTCTCCAGTGGCCTCGCCCCTGAGACAGGACAACTTGTTGCTCCTGTCCCTTCTGGATTCTCAAAGCTTGATAGACACATATAGACAGATGAATCCGAAGGAACATAGATATACCTGGTTTGGACCGAGACCAGACGAGAACTCCCCCCAACCATGTAGGAGGCTAGATTTCATTGCGGTAAGGGGTACGATCTGGGACAGATGCATTGATGCTGACTTTTCAATTTCATCAATATCGGATCATTACCCAGTATTCGTGGATATAATCACGAAGGAACTGGTACAGATAGCAAGACCTCCCCTTAGGCTGTGCTGAAGGACAAAGGGATTCCTGTATGGGTTTCGTCTTAGATGATTATCTGGCAGAATGCCAGGGACCTATTTGAAACGGAGGACTTGTGGGCGCATGAAGGTGGCCAGCAGGAAATGGAAGGAACTAAAATGTCAGCAGGAGGTAAAGGATGCAAAGTCCAATATGGGCGGTGATCCCTTTTCTAATTTTTTTTGGACAGAGAAAAGAAAAGTTGCACTGTGCCAGTTGCAATCATTGGAGGTCCAGAGACAAGCAGAGTGGCTGGATTGGTTGAGAATCCGGGGCATCATAGGTTATGACAGGATGACGAAGATTACCTTTCGTTCTCTTATTTTTAGACAAACGAAACCTGTTAATAGAGAATTGTCACATCCGTTTGACGTTCTCCCCTCCTATACGTCAGACCCTCAGGAGGTTTGCTACTATGCATTTGCATACTTCAGAGACATTGTCTCAACGAGACGGCCATTTGATGATTTTGACACAGATTTATCTTGACATCGAACTATTGGAACAGAACTAAGGCATGTATCAGCACATCCTCAAAAGGCATGTTGGACGCTCCACTTACGCAAAAAGAGCTCTCAGAGGCAGTTAAGCAAATGGCTTCAGGCAAGTGCCCGGGAATTGATGGTTTGCCTGTAGAGCTTTTTCGTAGTGCCTGGGATGGTTTCGCCCCATTTCTGTGTAAAATTTATAATACTTCTCTTCAAACTGGCTCCTTGTCGGGCAATTTTGTCAAAGGGTTCATCTCACTACTATACAAAAAAGGGGACAAGCGGGAGGTCCGCAATTACCACTCTATTTCGGTTCTCAATGTTGCCTATAAAATCCTAGCGAAGGCCCTCGCTATTAGACTGTCTGCTGAGCTTCCACACCTAGTAGGGTGGGAGCAAGCTGCCTTCGTAAAGGGTCGTTCTATTTTTGAAAATATATTAACAACGGTCCAGGCACTCGAGGTAATAGGGGCCGAGAAAAGGGAAGTAGCGGTACTCCTATTGGATCTGGAGAAAGCCTATGATAAGGTGGGATGGGCTTTTGTCTCTACCACCTTGTCTAGAATGGGCTTTGGCTCGGGTTTCTCCAGTTGGGTACATGCCATGTATGCTAATGCTTCATCCGTGGTGATGGTCAATGGGCATATTTCGGATGAATTCTCTTTGACTAGATCTATGAGGCAGGGGTGCCCTTTGGCCCCCCTACTTTTTGTTCTACAATTAGAAGTTTTATTAGATAATATTAGATATAATGAGGAGATTTCTGGACTGAGACTGTCTCCCTCCCTACATTGGAAGGCTGGAGCGATCGCAGACGACTTGACGGTCGCCTGCGAGAATACCCTTTCCTCGTTGGGGGAGCTCAGAAGAGTTCTAGAAGAGTACTGCGTACTTTCAGAGGGGTCAATTAATTGGTCTAAATCTGTTTATTTTTTACCGGACATGTATGAACTTAAAGTTAACTGGGGGTTTAGAAACGATTCCAACGGAAAACTCTGAGTGCTTTCTCGGGATACAAGTGTCCCTCTCAGACTGTTCCAAAACTCAAGATCAACTGCTATCAGACCGGGTGACGGCAAGAATTCACTCATGGCTAAGGAACTATAGGTTATTGCTCCTAGGGAGAGCACTGGTACTGTTTTCAGCTGCGTTTTCGATGCTGTGGTTCCCACTTTCTCTATGTCTGTTGGGCGATGAGGCCTATAATAATATTCGGCGGGCTGTTGTCAAATATATATGGAAACCATCGGCTGAAGAAGACCATGGCTTCATCACCAAAGTGGCCTGGGATGTAATAACTCTCCCTAGAGCCCAAGGAGGTCTGGGGGTTTTAGACCCCCGTTCTCAAAACATTGGACTCCTGGCTAAAAGGGTGACAAAAACCATGCTGGATGATCCCTCTAAATTATGGATCAGACTGGATGAGTACATCCTAGGCCAGGAATGGGCACTGTCAGAGGAGGGCAGGGTTTGGCAATGCTGTTTAATACCATCCTTCGTGAATAGACGAGTAAAATCGAGAATATGGCGTAATATTTTATTCGCCTAGAAGAAAATTCTGCCCCCAGTCGCAAAACAACCCAACTCTAAGCTAGAAGTGGCCAACCAAAATTTGTTCGACAACCGTTGGATTGTAACGCCAAGTGGGACTGTCTTCTCGGCAAAGGATGGCAGAGGGAACTTTGGAAGAGCGTGGGTGGAGAGAGGGGTCCTACAGATCAAGGATTTATGGAGGTCGGACTTAGAGGAGTGGGTAACTAGCGATGAATTGAAAACCTGCCTGCCCCGTCTGAGGCAGGTTCCAGAGAATTTGGATCGGCTTCTGAGCTCTATCCCCTCACATTGGACAACGCTGCTAAAAGAATCAGAACAGCATGGTGAAGGTACCTGGCTATTCTCAAGAACAGATCATCGGACACTATGGAAAGTACTGGGGCCAGACTTAAGAGAAGGCTTTCGTATTGAAGAATGGCAACTGGGCTTCTCCAACTCTGTGAGTGGCCCCTTTCGGCGTATACAGGAACAGACCATACCAAGCACAGTCGGCCTGTCAGAAGCACGGGTGCTTCAGGTGAAAGGGAAAAACCTATTCTTAGGATCTGGTGAAAGCATTCGAATGGAACCTCTGCTGTATGGCTGGAATACGAAGGCAAATGGCGTTATTGGATAGGAGACGAGTATTTGGTGCAGTACAAGGCTAAAACGGGAGTTGTCTACCTACAATCTCTGAGGCCTGTAACTCCATCTTCATTAGCCTCAAAAAGGTTTATCAAGCTGAAGGGTCCGGATGCCCAACAGTCTGACTTGACAGCATTATTAAAAGGGTTGAGAAAGATTCTCTCTCAAAAGGCAGCCAGTCTCATGTGGATGCAGTCCTTGTTTGTAATTCCTACGGCGCTCTGGCTATCTTCGAAGGGAATGGAAGTATCGACCATTTGTTCCCGCTACAACTGGGGATGGGAATCCAATGCACATGTGTGGGTGTGCTGTCCAATATATATATATATATATATATATATATATATATATATATATATATATATATATATATATATATGTGCAGAAGGATTTTGCTCCAAGTAATATGGAGAGCAAGGAATGCGAGTGTATTTAACAAAGAAAA